CAGCCTGGTCTACAATAGTGAATTCCAAGCCAGCTAAGGCTACATAGTGAGATCCTGTTTCAAAAACAAACAAAACCAAAAATAGATCAAATAAACAAATCAACCTAACTAATAGGCTTAGATAGTGGAGGGTTTGGGATTTTTGGTATTGAAGACTGAGTTTTAGAAGCCAGAGAATCTACAGGCCAGCTCATGGGGCATAGGGATGATATTAAGATAGCACATCAAAGCCTATGTGTGACCTTTTTAGTCACCATCAGATTCTCAGAAGCCTGCACAGTGGAGCCTGGAGCCAACGCCACGATCCACTGTTTCCTCCAGGAGGTCCAAGGAGAGTGTCTCCACCTTCCTAACTGAAGGCAATTCTTTTACACAAAGCAGTTTCCGGGGTGCAATGTGTGATTTCTGGAAAGACACCTCTGATCTAGGGCAATCCCACACTCCACTGGTGCGATTAGACCCCTGGTGAGTAGAGGTGGAGCCTCAAACATAGAAGGAACTAGAACCAGCCTCAGGAAGCTTGGAATCTCTCGGAATGCCGAATGGAAGTTGCTTGTCCCACCTAAATCACCGGCGGGGGCGGGGCTCTCTGCTTCCCACTGGGCATGCTCTCAGCAGGGGGGTAGGGGGCTCTCTTCCTCTTTTTCTTTCTCTCGCTCTCTCTTTTTTTTTTTTTTAAAGAAAAGATCTCATCTCACTCTATAGCCCAGGTTAGTCTGTAACTCTCTACATAGACTAGGCTGACCTCAAACCCACAACTTTTTAGCAATCCTCTTGCCTCAGCCTCCCAAGGCCTCCCAAGGTCACAGGTATGAACCACCACAAGGGCAGCTCACACACTTCACTTCCGGAGTGCTGGTCATAGGTGTGAACTACCACACCAAGCAGCTGTACACGCCTTCATTTGTTTGTCTACTCTCTTTGAAAGAAAAGGAAACCAAAAAGGGGAGGGCCAGTGGTAGATGCTTCAGGCTCCTGAGTTCCTTGAAGATTGGAATGGTGTCCACCCTCCAAAACTTCTCATTTTTACTTTAGGTAAATGACGAACTCGCCTCACGGGGCAAGAGTGAACAGGTGGTACTATCAGTTTTAAGTGATCTTGTCACTGATACACAGTGGTGTGAGTGACTAGACACTAGCGCTTGGAGGTGCAAATTAAAGCCAGGTCAGCACCAAGGTGACCCTGTAATCCCTGCGCTCCGGAGTCTGAAGCAGGAGAATCCAACTGTGAGCAAATCAGAGCAGCCCATGTCACATAGGAAGATCATGTCTCAAAAACAAACAAACTGACCCAACACACTGGTGGTAAAGTGCCTGGCTAACATGTAACAGGCCGTAGGTCTCATCCTCGGCACTGCTAACAAAGACTGTCCTCCTAAGGTCCTAGGTCTCATCGAGCCACCAGCACTTGCACTGGGATCCCTGATATATATATGCACCCCCATTTCCAAGCCTGCCCAGCTCAACACTGAGTGACGTCTACTTATTCTCAGACACTCGCTGCCATCCTTGGAAACATGCTAGGCCACTCATTCCTCACTAGCCCATCCCAAAGTGCCGCTGAAGGGCATCCTGAAACACTCTCAGCCATCTACTAGAGGCTCAGTTTATTCTATTCCCTGGGCAGGAATCAAGTGGAGACTGGCTGAAGGACCCCTGACCTCCAACCTCTGGGCCACACACAGTACCTGGACCCATAGAAAACTCCACAAAACCAGTTAGGTCTCAGAAAAGCAAGTAAGACTAACCAGTTGAGCTGCTAACTCTCTGTAAAATCCACCACCAAACCTAGGCCCAACTTCCAAAACTCACAGCAAAATTTTAGGCACCATCATGATTGCTGTAGATTTTTCAGGTGGCTTATGGCTGGACAAACAAACTTAGTCAAAGTATTCCCCGAAAGGGATTGTACGTGACTTCTTTTAAAATTATTTTTTGTTTATCATGTTTTTGTTTTGGGGATCAACTGAACTCCTCATGAGAGAGGAGGAGGTCATTTTGGTGCAAAAGAAGCCCCTGGAAATTAGGGAAACCAGTTAAAAAACAAACAACAACAACAAAAACCTGATCCTCTCGCCTCGCTCCCAAGAGTTAGACAAAATCTAGAATATCACACAATAATACCTGAATATATATCAAGTGCTTGAATGTATGAGTCAGAGGTACTTTTTTTTTTCTTAAAGAAAGTAAAAAAACAAAATAAAACTATTCCTTGGGAAAGCAATACCTGTATCAAATATTTTTATCTTTATGAACAAAAATCACAAGTCATTATGAGCCGGTTCCCCTGTGACTACACCTAAATAGTGGGAGTCAAATCCTGGTCCAAATGCCTGCCCTGCTGACCCCGTGAAGTCACTCTTTGAGCCTCCAATTGCTCATCATTAAATGGAAATACAGTCCAACTGGCCCTACCCAGCAGGTTTGGCGGTCTGAAATGATAGACCGGCTCCAGTAATCAGTTGGAGAAATACCGATGACCTCTAAATACCCTTGGCCCACTTCTACCCTGTATAAATAGCAGAGCCAGACATATCTTCCTTGATCAACCACAATCGATAAGTAGACTCCCAAATTTGCGTAAATAAATCCTAAGGGAAAGTTTTGCCCATTCCATCCTACAGGCAGAGTAACACAATTTCTTGGCGCCTTCCCTATCCGACCCTACTCAGTCGAGTAACACCAGCGGAGTTCCCTTACCCTTACCTTTGCCCAGGACGTGGCCTCTCTCCAGGTGCCTCTCCGGCACCAGGAAGGTGTAGACCTCGGAACTGAAGCCGGGACGGCAGGGCTCCGGCTCCGACTTCTGGCAAAGCCATGAGGAGACCTGGGGTGGAGGAAAGGTAAGCAAACTGGTGACTTGAGGGGGGGGTTCCCGGCAGCCCACACCGAAACCAAGATAAACCCTTCCCCGCCCCGGGGGCGGGGGTTTTTGGGGGGGGCCCCCCCCCCCCCCCCCGCCTTGGGGCAGACTGGAACGCAATCCTCTCATCCCGAAACCAGCCGCCAAGCTCCAAGAGCCTTTGGGGGAGGGGACATCTGGGGCCACCACCTGGCAACCTAGTCCACCTTTCTCTCCTAACTCCATTTGCATCTCAGTGGAGACGCCTTTACTCTTCCGGACACCACTTTCCTTAGACCGCGAACGGTCTCCACCAACACCCTCTGACTCCTCTAAGCCGAGAGCCCATCCCCAATCTACTGTCCCTCCCTTACATGGCAGGTGCTTTTATGGTACTAAAATCCCTTTCCTTATCTCGGATCGTCCGCACTACTTCTGCCCTCGTTCCGCTCCACGCCTCCTCTGTCCTTCTCAAACAGTCGACCCCGCTCAACCGGGGGTCCCGGGAGCCGGCAGCGTGGCGCGCCCCCACCTGGGAACCTGCGCGAGAGACGGCCACTCCGCGCTTGCCTGGACCTCCCACCCACTCCACAGCACTCAGCCCCGCAGCGCGCAGCCTCCAGAGCGATCTGACCCTGTAGACCCCCCCAACTTTCTTGGAAGGAGGGAAGGAGGACCGCAGCAGGCGGAAAAACACAGTGAAGAGGGTCATGGGGCCCGAGTCAGGACCCTCCACATACCTGCAACAGGAGCAGGAGCAGGAGCGCGGAGAAGCTGCGGCACCGGGCTCCCATGGCTGGCCGGGCGGACGCCGAGCAAACACTGAGCTCGGGTGCGGTCGGGCAGGGCCGGGCTAGGCCGGGCTGGAGTCAAGCAGAAGTTCCTGAGAACTCAGTAGAGCGCCGCGGCTCCCACGCCAGTGAGCAGGGCAGAGGCTGCGGCCGCCAGGTGAGCCCGCAGGCACCGCCCCCGGAGCCGCTGATTGGCTGGGGACGCACCTGCAGGTGGCAGCCAAGGAACCGCACGGCCCTCAACTTCCTCCACTCCTGTCTATAGTTAGTGGCATGGGGCTGGGCTTAGGAGACTTCCTCGCTTCCTATTCCACGTTTGTTCGAATCCTAGCCTAGCCGTGCTCTGATCCACTGAGACTTGGAGTTACAAAATAAAAGCTTTACTTTTCATCTAAGTTTCTGTTTTGTTTCGTAACTCTTTATTTTGTTTGGTTGGATGAGTTTGTTTGGTTTGGTTTACATTGTCTTAAGGATTTTAATAACATTTTAACGTGTGTGTGTGTGTGTGTGTGTGTGTGCTCGCAAACCCATGTGCCACAGACCGAATGTGAAGATAAGATGACAGCCTGCAAGAGTCAATTCTCTTCTTCCACCAAGAGGGTCCTGGGATTGAATTGCCGTTATCGGCCTTTACTGACTGAGCTCTTGGGCAGTTTTATTTTGTTTGGTAGCTTTTTTTAATTTGTTTATTTTCCAGCCTAAGTGAGCCTTGAATTGTCTTAGCCTCAGCCATCCTCCTGTTTCAGCCTCCCAAAGACTGGGATTGCACAAGTGGGGCACCAGACCAGGCTAATCATCTAATTTCCTATCACCTGTCCCCCTCCCTTTGAGACATAGTCTTGCTATGTAGCCCAGTATGGCTTTGAACTCACTGCTGTCCAGTCTCTAGCCTCCTCACTTCTGGGAGGGAGCTACAGGTACCCACTACCTTATGGACCCACTAAAATCCGTTCTTTTAACTTCAGTTCTCAGGAGGTTAGTGAGTCAGGGAGGAAGTCAATGGATTAGAATCCCCTGGAATAGGAATTACAGGCTGCTCATGGTGGAAACTGAACTCTGGTCCCTGAAAGAAGAGCAAGTCCTCTTAACTCCTAAGCCACCTCCCCAGCCCTTTGTTTATCTGGTTATTGTTCTTTGTTTGTTTGAGAGAGGGTCTCTGTATGTAGCCCTGGATGTCCTGGAACTTACTATGGAGACCAGTCTGGCCTCAAACTCACAGAGGTCCAACTTCCTCTACCTCGCAAGCGCTAACGTTAAAGACATGCGCCACTACTACTGGCTAGTGTTTATCTGGTTTTTGAGACAAGTTCTTCCTGAGTTGCCCAGACTGCCTTTGACTTTAGGACCCTCTCACATCAGCATCCTAGATGCAATATGCATTGCCATATCCATCAGGGTTTTTTTTTGTTTTGTTTTGTTGTTGTTGTTGTTGTTGTTGTTGTTTTTTAATTTAAAAATTTTGGGGGCTGGGGATTTAGCTGAGTGGTAGAGCACTTGCCCAGCAAGGCCAAGGCCCTGAGTTCAGTCCTCAGCTCTGAAAAAAAAAAAAATTTACATTGGTGTTCTCCCTCCATGTATGTCTATGTGAAGGTATCAGCTCTCCTAGAACTGGAATTACAGACAGCTGTAAACTACTATGTGCTGGGATTTGAACCCGGGTCCTTTGGAAGAGCAGCCAGTGCTCTCAACCACTGAGCCATCTCTCTAGCCCTCATCAGTTTGTTTGTTTGGTTTTCTTTTTGTTTTTTTTTAAGATTTATTTATTTATTTATTATATGTAAGTACACTGTAGCTGTCTTCAGAGACCCATATGAGGGCATCAGATCTCATTGTAGATGGTTGTGAGCCACCATGTGGTTGCTGGGATTTGAACTCATGACCTCTTGAAGAGCAGCCAGTGCTCTCAACCACTGAGCCATCTCTCCAGCCCTCATCAGTTTGTTTGTTTTTATAATTTATTTTGTTTGTTTATGTGCATTGGTATGAGGGTGTCAGGTCTCTTGAAACTGGAATTACAGCCAGTTGTGAACTGCCATGTGGGTGCTGGGATTTGAACCTGGTTCCTTTGGAAGGGCAGCCCCTGCTCTCAATCAGTGAGCCATCTCTCCAGGCTTCTCCCATCAGTTTTGTTTTGTTTTTGTTTTTGTTTTTAATGCTGAGCTGGAAGAGATGTCACTCAAATCTGTTACCTACCTACAACTTGATATCATGTAACCAGTCAATGTTGAAGGAAAGCCCAGAACTCAAGCTCCAGAGACTGAGACAGCCGTCGGCACCTTCATCAGAGAATTCTATCCTTGGTACATAATTTTAGGATCAAAAATAAAATAGACAAACATTAGATCAGTTTCCCTGTCTGCCTATGGCCTGCCATGTCTGTGTTGCTTGGATACATGAAAACAAAGGCACCTCTCACTCCTATTGGTCCAGCCTTGGCAAACCAGAGATTGGGGATGTGGCTCAGTTTGGCAAGTGCACGCCTACCATACATGAGGCCCTAGGTTCCTCCCTCGGCACTGTGTAAACCAGGTATGGTAGTGCCTATGAGTAATCCCTATGTGGGAAAATCATGACTTCAAAACCATCTTCCTCAGCTACCTACTGGATTTGAGCCCTGAGAATCTCAACAAGCAACCAAAAACTACAAAATAATGTTCTTGCCAGTCACTAGCGGTGTGACCGTGGGCAAGTCCTCATCTGTACTATGATCAAAGCAATCACTGAGGTTGTGCCTTTGAAAGGCCCAGCCCTATCTGACCATCAGTATTTCCCATAGTGCTAATGATGAACCTGAGCCCACAGAGAGCACAGCCTCATCTATAGAGGTGCTGTCTCCAGCCCACAGAGCCCACAGATCCTGCCAGCCTTCCCTGCAGGCCGAGCCCCCTCCATTTTAATGGCTTTCCAAGCAGATGAGCGCGCACGCACGCACACACACACACAGAGCAGCCTTTTGGATTTCTGCTTCTTGGCTTCCTCTGCTTCTTAGCCCACCAGGCGGCTGGCTCAGAGGGAGAAGGCTCTGGTATTTCCTTTCCCACTGAAGCTCCTGCCCAGATCATGCCCTGAAAGAGATAATGGAAATAAAGAACGAGGCGTTTTCTCCCCCCTGGGGCAGCTTTGTCGTTTATTTTTCTCCCCTCCCAGTTACATAAAAATACATATTTTATTTTATATCATTGCTGGGTGCAGGGAGTCTTTGGAGCTTTGCTTTCTTTTCCCCAGCAAGCACTGGCCTTGGAACTCCATGATGACTCTTCATCGACTCTTCTATTACCCAGTGATAATTCAATAAAAAGGATTTTAGATAACAATTAAGGGCAGCAATACAGGTCAGGTCTGATGCACTTTCCAGGCCTGATGCACTCTTCAGATCTCTCATCAAGTCCTCTGGAGAGGGTCAAAAAGGGTCACTCACTACCCCAGCCTGGCTATGCAGGCTGAGGAGAAAACATAAGGGGGCTTCCTATACAGTTGGGGCTTCATGCAGCAGCGACCTTCCTCAGTTTACCCTTCTGTCAAACAGGCATAAAACTTCAATGTGAAGACTCACTGAGCCAGTATGTAGAGACTATGTATACACTCTCCCACCGTCTGCATTTATTAATTTCTAAAAGGGTAGTATTGATAGCATTACATCCAGAAGTTTGCGTGGAGGGAGTGGGGAGAGATAGGGTTTCTAGCCCGGGGTGGCCTCATGCTAACTATATAGGGTAAAAGATAAGCATAAACTTCTGATCTTCCTGTCCTCTTCTCCCAAGGACTGGGATTTCAGGTGTGTGTCTCCATACCAGACTTCACAAGTTAGTAGGGATATGTGGGAATCCAACCCTGAGCCCTGTGAATACTAGGCAAGCATTCTACAAACTGAATTGTACATCCGTCTCTCAGAAGATTCTCCATCGTACTCTCTAACACTTTTGTTGTTGATAGAAATGGAACCCAGGACCCAGGCTATGGATAGCTATATCCCCAGCCCTTTTTTTAATTTCTTTTTGTGAGACAAGGTCTCCACTAGTTTCCAGGCTCACCTTAAACTCACTCTGTACAGCCTGGGGAAGGCTTTGAACTTGTAACTGTCTTGCCTCAGCATCAACTGAAGGGTACAGGCTTGAACCCACTAGGCCAGGCTAGCTATGCAACACTGCTCAGCAGCAACAGTCTAGGGAAACAGTCTGGGGGGTGCGGGGAACATGCGAGCACCCTGGGAACCTCCCCAGCTCCAGGCTCTCTTTCCCCCACACCCCACTAAAAAGGCCTCTTAGGCTATCTGTGGCCTGGGAAAAACCTTCACACAATCCAGCTAATCATTTAGAACTTCTCAGGGTCATTTACATTTTAAAGAGGCTGCTGGGGGCTGAACTTGCTGCTTCCAAAAGAATGAAAGGCTCAGGCTAGTCGGCCTGTTGGACAGGCTAGTCTGCCTGTTGAACAGGCTGCTGCTGGGATGATCTCTGGTTGCACATAATAGCTTATCAATATGGGAGGAGGAAAAAAAATTCCAATCCAGGAGTTAGGATCCCGGGAATTTCGGGGACTACTAGGGAAAAGTGCCCTTGAGATCATCCTGGGAAGATTAACAGACGTCCTACACCAGGATTCATGGCACCCAGCCCTCAGTGGCTCATAAGCTGTAGCCTTTTTAACTGAATAGTGAGGGTCACTTCCTGGATGCCCTTCAGGTCATCTGGGAGGCTAATGATTAACCTCCTGAGCAGTCTGGGTTTCAGCCTCAGAATTGCAAAAACACTGAAGCTTCCACAGACAAACACAAACCTTTAATCCTACCACTTGAGACACAGAAGCAGGTAGATATCTCTGTGAGTTTGGCCAGCCTGGTCTATATAGACAGTTCCAGGCCAGCCATGTCTACACAGTGAGACCATGTCTAAGAGAGAGACAGGGAAGGAACAATGTACGGTCTCCTTATTGAAGTAACCTCTAAATTGCCTAATACAATGTGGATGCTATACACTGCTTGCATATATTGTCCTGGAACTGGACATATACTATCCAAACTGGTCTCAAACTTGCAGGACCATTCAATGTTGCGGGGCAATCCTCCTGTCTGTCTCAGGTGATTCCCCCCCCCCCAAGTACTAGGACTATAGGTTTGAGCTACTAGAGTCAACTTAGATGCAATTATTA